AGACACGCGTGACAGTACACATGTAAACATACACGAGTACCAACTTCTCGGCTTTGATGAACGAGTGACAACAACATCATCATATGGATAAATGTCTGTTTGTAGTCACGCGTGGCACCATGTTTGCATGGAGACACGAAATACATCACATATACATATATCACGTTCATGTCTGTGCATGTCGATTCACCTTTAGAATTCAGGCGTCCGTTCCACAACATGATCGTAGCGCTAAGGTGATCGCCAGTCACCTACTGTCCATGCCCAGGCGGTGAAGAGCTGTGATCGATGCTCGTGGTGATAACACCCGGTACTGACTTTGGTGCACAGTGCCATCACAGACACAGACGTCCCTTAGAACATTAAAAGACTGTTTGTAGTGTAAGAAACATGTGCCTCATCCTGTGTAAATGATTATTCTGTTATGCGTTTCTATTTTTGGCCAGTGTATGTTCAACCCAAACATCGTAAATGTATCACGCAACCGTATTATTTTTTATGAAAATAATTGCAAACTACAGACCAACCTGTTGATTTCATATGTATCCAGAACATAAACGGGTGTATAATCTTTGCCGGAAGTTAAAAAAAACTGCCAAAACAATTAACCATGCAGAACTGTACATACAGTGAACTACTTGAAACAGTACTGTGCTCAACTTTGCACAGCAAGCACCATTAGTGTGAAGACAACTAATTACAAATTTCTCTTATCAAACCCGTTTTTTTAAATGTGCTGTTTATTGGAAGTCATCACTTTATGGAAGCCTTGTATTAAATTGTGTTGAACAATAAATAGCATGCAATAGCAGTAGTAAGGAAACTAGTAAATGGTGAGAACAATGCCCAAAACCTCCCTTTGTGGTAATAGGAAAGTCTGGAATGTGGGGAATGGTATGGCACATCTGGTCTGTTATGGAATGTTGCAGAATGTCTGGAATGGTATGGCAAGTCTGTTCTGCAAGGTATGGACGAAAGGATCTAATGGCTTCAACTAGAGCTAAGCCTTCCTTTTCTGTAATGCTCCAGTTCTTTTCGCTCATATCACTGGCATCAGTTGCGAGAAGAAATTCTTTGTCAAAATTTGGATAAGCCAGAACAGGTGTATTACTCATAGCATGTTTGAGTGTGTTGAATGCCCGATCACACTCAAGTGACCATTGGAACTTTGGTTTCTTTCCTACTTCTGCCTCCGAATGCTTCTTTAGCAAAGCATTCAGTGGAAGTGCTATGTGAGCGTAATATTTCACATACTTCCTGTAGAAGTTTGTGAGGCCTAAGAAGGAGCGATCTGCTTTTGTGATTTGGGCACTGGAAAGGTACTAATTGCTTCAATCTTTTTGTCATCAACTTGAACACCTCCACATGATAAAACATGACCCAGAAAAGAAACTTTGTCTGTTGCAAAATTGCATTTGGATGGCTTTAGTGTTAATTTTGCCTGTTTGAGATAGTAAAATACTTGCTCCAAATGTTGGAGATGCTCTTCAAAGTTTTTGCTGTAAATTATCAAATCATCAATGTAAATCAGCGCAACCTTAAAAAGCAATTTTCGTAGCACTTTGCTCATGAGCTGTTGAAAACAAAGTGGAGAATTTGTCAAACCTTGGGGCAAACGTTTGAATTGATAAAGTAGTCTGTGTCGTTGGTCTGGAGTCAGTTGCGTATTGGTCAAATCAAATCCTAACTCTTGTGCAATTTTAACATAGTCCTTGGTGTCATTGTCTCTTTTCTCATTGTCAGTGTTAACGGTACTTATGAATGGTTCGATTTCAAAAACAGAGTCTTTGTCAATGTAACTAAATTTGCCTACAACTGTACCCTTGTCAAGAACCTTTTCTTCTTGGGAGGGATTCATAAGCCTAAATGTAGCAGTTTTGCTTTTCACTTTGGAAAGAGTTCTACCGCCTGCTACTTAAGAATGAGCAGTGAGGGAAGCAATGGGTTTAATGGGTTGAAATGAATTTCACTCTGAGGGGGTATGTAAATCTGATCTATTGTTTTTGCTAATCCACTAATCTCTTGCACTGAATTGGCTATGAAATTGATATATTGCCTATCTGATGTGCTGTTGTTAAGTATCAAGGAATGACAGCTATATTCTAAGACTGCATCATTGTCATCAAGGAAGTTCTAATCTAGTATCACTGCCTTCGGCAGTGTAGGCAGTACATAGAGAAAAATTCCTGATCCTCAATGACAAAATCTAACACAACTGAACCTAACACTTTATGCAATTCGCCCAAACACCTTTTACCTGTGGAAAGGGTGAGTTGCCAAGGGTAAGGTTTTCAAAAGCTGTGCTCAGAAAAGCAGACGAAATACAACAAATGGATGCCCCTGTATCTACTAAACAATTTGTTGTTGTGCCAAATTTTGCCTGAATTACACTTTTGGCATGGGGCGTAACTAAAGACACTGTTGTAATTTCACTTTCAAAGTTGCTTTCCATACCAGACTCCATATTTGCCATGACACCTATTAGTATGTACCATACTAAATTAAAGAAAGACAAGTAATCAACAATGTAATGCTGTACTTACAATATTTGAAGACTTTTTCTTCCTTTGTTGGTGTCTTTGGAGGAGTTGGTTGTCTTTAATCCAGTGTTGAGGTCAGAGGTGGATGCAGCTTGCTTGTTATTCCATCAGATGATCACGGTTGGGAAATGTCCTCAAATGGGTTCTTGTAGCTGGTTGTAGTTAGTTCCTGGGCTCTGTGGTTCCGAAAACGATGATTCTCCGCCAAATTATCGTGGACTGTTATGGGTGTACAAAACCGTCCAAATGGCGTGTTGGTTTTCTTGGGGAACTAGTCAGCAAAGAGCCGGAGTCACAGGAGACTAATCACAATTTTATTAATAAGAACAATTAACAATTAACAATATCTTAGAAAATAGCTGAGGGTGCCACAGAGAGTCGGTACAACATTCTGGGCTGTGGGAGAGAGGTCTGCTTGGTAAGAGAGTCTAACCCCTTCTCTACCCTAACATGTGGTTTCTGTATGTATTTAACAAAAATTAGAACAATAAAATGGAATATGATTGGTTGATACACGATGGGTTGTGCCCTATGCTAAATGAATGGCTAGACAGAGAGGAATACTTAATCCTGTTAATCCTGTTGGACTGGCACTAATCTTGTTGACATATTTACTGGATGCTTTGAAATAGATTATTGTGTCACTATAGACGAGCTTGTGTTGGGGCTAATCCTTAATGCACTATAGACGAGCTTGTATGGGGGCTAATCCTTAATTAGTCTAAATTGAAGTAATTGCTGAATGTTATTCTAATATAGGTGATGACAGATTTACTTAAATAAAATAGTTCAAGGTAATCTATAAGACTATGTAGACATATCTTTTGTCTGGGAGATGGGATCTTGATACCTTAGGCTAGCATTTATCTAAAAGCTTCAAATCTGTTAACCTATGTAGACATAACTCTTGTCTTATTGAATAGTATGTCTAGGAGTTGCGCTCCCATTACCTTAGGCTAGCATCTATCTAAAAAGATATAACTGAAACTACTGATATTTTATATATGCATTTTACCTGATGATAAGTATTACTTGCTAAACTATAATTATATGAAATGATGTATAAATATTAAACCATGATAAGTCATAAAAGCACTTGATGTGGATCTAATTATTGTAGGAAAACTTAGTATTTATGTTATATCATGATAATTCACTGCTGAATTGGAGGCAATTCATCATACATTCAAACTCATACCGGAGCTTCCGGAAGCAAAGGCAGTCGTCCTATCAGACTCGCTAAGTGCACTTCAAGCCATCAGCGTCAGAAACTCAAACTCCAGGCCAAACACAGTCAACCATATGCTATACGAATATACAAAACTATCGGACCAAGGGCAACAGGTGGAGCTGTGTTGGATCCCCTCTCACATAGACATTCATGGAAATGAAAAACAGACTCACTGGCGAAGCTAGCTCCAGACAAAGCGGAGATACAGCCTATTCCCTTTAGTAAACTAGAGATAAAAAGCAAAATCAAAGCCCCCATAGCCCAAAGATGGCATGCCCAGCGGGACACAAGTAAGATCCGCAGATGGTTATACAAAACTCAACCCAAGATCCACCAAAAGCCATACTCATATTCAAATGAAAGGAAAGTTGAGATAGCCATCTCACACCTCAGACTCAGTCGCAAAAAGCACTATGACAAGGTTTGTTCATCTTGCAATCAGGCTGAATCCATTGCTCATGTGTTACTTGAATGTCAAGACCACGCCCCAGCCCAGGCTCGGTCATCTTCCCGAGGCAAGAGAGTTACATGACTATAAAAGTCCAGTTTCCACTATGCCTACATAAAAACATAATCTCAAATAGAATGTCATAGATAAACCTACATAAATATACATATTACCTGTGCTGTAATATGCTCATAATTATACACAACACACATTTCTCATGGCAAACAATATGGCGGACACAAATACTTATATCTGTTGCCTTTATCATAAAAAAATATATTATAGTACATTACATCAGAGAATCATAAACATGAATGGTGTGTTTATTATTGTTACTTTACTTAAGACATAAATTACATTCATACACTCAAATCACACAAGTATATCTACACTAAAATAATGTTTACATTATACATGCTGTACTAAAACAAATATAACATCCTACATAATGTTTATAATCTAGTATTAAAACTAACCTTTGGAGATGTATAGTGAAGATGAAGCTGTGAAAGTCCTTGTCACAATACGTGTCAAAATATGAGTCTCATGTCGTGACTGTCCAGAGAAAGCTGTATATAGTAGACTGACTCTCAACCCTCACAATAAACAAAAGAACTTGCCAGCCCAAGTTCAGCTTGGAGCAATCAGGCTGGAAACTTGTACCGTACATGATCTAATAATATACACAAATTACACTGTCTAAAACCAATACCATATATATACAGATAAATTATAGAAATGACACTGCCACACACTTCCCCCTTGACAAATGACGTCCTCGTCATCTTAGCTTTCCTGTTACCAGATTCACAAGAGCTTCTGATGCCTGGTCACATCTGCTTGCTACGACTCTTGTGGCTATGAGTGAACTAAGGTAATCTGCTCTTGATTTCCAGTCTGGCTTTGGTGTTGTTGTTGTCGCCATCACATACTTCCAACTCGTCTGCCAGTGCGGTTTCATCCTTTCTCTCTGTGACCTCCTAAGTGGTGGGGTAGGTAGCATCCTCCTCCTAGGTCTGTCGTCACGTGTTGTCACTGTTGGTGGTGGCTCAGGAGTGTCTGCTTCAGTCTGCACATCCTCTTGTGCAGAAGTATCTACATCCTCCAGCAACAAGTCGACAGATGGTATAGGCGTACCAGGAGCTTCGGTTTCAATCTGCACATTCTCCTGTGCAGAAACTACGACATCATCTGGAGTACCCACAGTCACATCCACGTCATCTCTGGCTCTCTGTAGGTCATCTAACCTGTGATCCTCATTCAGAGCGACGTCTGTAACAACTTCAGTTTCAACCTCAGGTGGCCCATCAGCTGGTACACCAGCTGAAACTGAGGGTTCTGATGAGGTCACGGGCCCAATACAAATATCAACATCTGAATCTTCCTCTTTATCCTGGCACAAGTTCTCCGTAACATCCTGGGTTGATAATCAGGATGGAGCACTTGATGTCTTGGATTTCTGATAGGGTCTTTCAGTAGGGACAGGTGCCTTTGGAACTGGTAGTGGCAGAGATCCTATGGGGAGCAGTAGATTCCTGTGGAGAGTCCTCCGTTTCATCTCTTTCCTTTTTTACCACAAACACAGGTATCACAGGATCAGGCTGTTTGAGAATTACGTAAACATCCTTCTCCCATTTATCGGCGATCTTGTGTTTGCCATCAAAAGTGACGATCTTTACAAGCACTCTGTCTCCAACGTCCAACATGGCAGCTCTAGCTTTGGCGTCATAGTTAGTCTTTTGTCTTGTTTGGGATTTGTCAGCAGCTTCAGCAGCAAGTTCATACGCCTGTTTCAGTCGGTCTCTCAGTGACTTAGTAAATTTCGACAGGGACTTGGCCTTGCTTGGGTCGATCTCCAGTCCAAAAGCTAGGTCAACAGGAAGCCTTGGATGTCTACCGTACATGAGGAAGAATGGTGAGTATCCAGTCGTCTCATGCCTTGTACAGTTGTATGCATGTACAAGAGGACCTACATGGCTCTTCCAGTCCTTCTTCCCAATAGCATCCAAGGTTCCAAGCATGTTAAGTAGAGTCCTGTTGAAACGTTCACATTGACCGTTACCCATAGCATGGTGAGGAGTGGTTCTCGACTTGTTGATCTGCGTGAGACTGCACAACTCCTTCATAAGCTTCCCTTGAAAGTTTGCTCCTTGGTCCGAGTGGATCCTCTTAGTCCATAGTTGACCACAAAGTTCTTGAAGTATATCTCGGCTTTTGTCTAAAGAGTCATATTTTTAGGGGTATAAGCCTGGGCGTAGCAGGTGAAATGATCTGTGATAACTAGAATACACTGTTGTCCTCCCTTTTGATGGTTCTAATGTCAGAAAATCCATACAGACTAACTCCAAGGGCTGGGTGGTCTTGATACTTACTAAAGGTGCTTTCACTGTTGTGCTGCTCTTCCTCCTAATCCATCTCTCACACTGACTGACAATGTTCTCTATGTCCTTAGTCATTCCAGGCCAGAAGAAGCGATCCTGAATAAGATCATGTCCGGGATGTCCAACTTGGTCATGGAGCCAGTGCAGGACTGACTGGTGACATCTACTAGGCAGAACAAGTTGCTCGCAGGTTTCACCATCCACTGATATAACTCGGTAAAGGACTCCTCTTCGAAGTTTGAAGCTTGAAAAGTTCTTCATGAGACCACACATCTCAGGATCTGCTCGACAATCAATTGGTCTTGTCTTAGTTCCATTCCTCAGATGGGCCATAACAGTATCCAAGGCTGGGTCTCTGGCTTGGGCTCTTCTCCAGTCATGGACATTGGCATCACACTTCTCATCACTTATTTCTACTTCCTGCTCCTGAATAATGGCTGATGAAACAGATACACTCTCCACGAGACTAAGGGTTGATGTCATGTTGCAGATAGCATTGATGGAATGTGATGAAATCTGTCTCATATTCGACTGATCCTCGGGTGTTTGAAGTCGTGACAACACATGAGCATCAGCATTGTTCTTCCAAGGCCGGTATGAAATCGTGAAGTTATAGGCTGAGAGTGCTGCCAACCATCTATGCCCTGTTGCGCCCAACTTGGCACTGGTGAGCACCCATGTCATAGGATTGTTGTCCGTTAGCACTGTGAAGTCATGTCCGTAAAGATAGTCATGGAACTTTTCTGTGACGGCCCATTTCAAACACAAAAATTCCAATTTGTGAGCAGAGTAATTTCTTTCAGACTTGTTTAGGCTCCTACTGGCATATGCAATAACTTGCTGATGTCCTTCATGCGTCTGATATATCACGGCACCAAGACCTCGTGTGCTGGCATCTGTATGCAATTCGAAAGGCTGGAGATAGTTTGCATATCCTAGAACAGGTGGTGATGTTAATCTGCTCTTCAGTTCTGTGAAAGCCTTTTCCTGGTTGGGTCCCTAAGTCCACTGTACAATCATCTGATCCTGTTGCAATCGATGTTTCTTGCCTTTCGTCTTAGGCATCAGCTCTGAGAGGGGTTTCTTGGAGAAGTCCTGTACAAATTTTTTTATAATATCCTGCGAAGCCAAGGAACTCTCTAACTTCTTCAGGACTTGTCGGTGTAGGCCAGTCTCTAATCTTGTTGATCTTCTTCGGGTCTGCTTCGATTCCATTTTCAGAAATGAGGTCACCACTTGACTTTATTCTTGAAGAACTAGAATTTCTTGGGAGCCAACTTCAAGCCACATTCCCTGAGACGTTGAAACACAAGCTCCAGGAGTTCAAGATGTTCTTCATAGGTCTTGGAGAAGATTATGAGGTCGTCAATATAAACAAGACATATCTTGAGATGTAATCTTGACAGGCAGTTTTCCATTTATCTCTGGTAGGTGGCTGGCGCATTACATAAGCCGAACGGCATTCGATTAAACTCATAAAAACCTAGTGGTCCAATGGTGAATTCTGTTCGTTGTTTGTGTTCTTCTTTGAGTTCAACTTGATGGTAACCGGACTTCATGTCAAGGACAGAGAAATATTTCATGCCGCCGAGACAATCCAACATCTCTTCAACTCGAAGAGCGCATGCGAGTCCTTCAATGAACGGTTATTCAGCTGGCGATAATCCACGCACATCCTTAGTTTTCCATCAGACTTGCGCACAAGAACAACGTTGGATGACCATGGGCTATGTGATTCCCTTATCACTCCAGGTGACAACAGTTGTTGAAGGTGGCTATGAACTTCTTCATACATGGCAGGAGGTATTCTTCTATGGCGTTGCTTAAATGGAATGTCATTGGTCAAGTCGATGCGATGTCTTACAGCAGAACTTTGTCCCAAGTCATCGTCTCCCTTGGAAAATATGTCCTTGAACTTGAGGATGACTCCAAGTCCTAAGTCCAGTTCCTCTTGAGATATGCTCTTCTGCTCTACATCAACTTGTTCAAGCAAGCGCTTCTCATCTTCTGACTCCAGTGGCATCAGTCCTTTAAATGTGATTGGTTGAAGCTCACATAGCAGTGCTCTTGGCCGTACAACAACTGTCTGGGTAGTGATGTTGTCTACATGCACGTAAACTTCGCCAGGGTGCTCACAGTTGTAGTCTACGATGGAGGGAGCAATGTCAAGGTCACTCGGAATTGCAGAGTTGTCAGTCGGGTGGATCAGTGCACATACTTTAGGAATAAACATTCTGCACTACATTGCCTCGGATGACTATTTGACTGTTGGCAGGAATGATTACATTTCCAACTTCTGCACTAGTCCACTAGTCCAAGTTTCCATCCATTCCTGACAAGTTCCTTCTTCCTCAACACCATACTGCGGAAAGCCAAGTACCAGGGTGTATGCAGCGCAGCCTTCTGTAGAAACTGGACACCATGTGTGTTCTTGCATCCTTCCAGTAGGTGACATAAGATGTTGGTCCCAAGTAATGCTGACACTTTAGAATTATACTGGGTGTCTGTCGATATCAGAAACAAACAAGAAACCAGTTTGGCTGATGCTATCCCCTATGTTTCCAACTTGACATCCACATATCCTGTAAAAGGTAGCGACTCTCCTCCAGCACATTCGATGTTCAAAATGTTATCAAGTGGCTCCAAAGGTACATGCTTTAAGTAGGAATCATAGAAGGTCTGTGATAATATAGACACTGTAGCTCCTGTGTCTAGAAGTGCTCTTGCCTTTACCCCTTCAATATGAATGTCTACCTTGTTAACGTTACCTACAAGTTCATCGGGGATTCCTTTTTCCCTATCTCTGGGGCGTTTGTAAAAACCTACAGGCGGCACCTGCCAATAGGCCTGCGCGAGTTTAAAGCTCTTCCACGTCTAGAATGGTCCAGTCTAACTGTGCATGTGTGTTGAGTATGTCTAACCAGTCCACATCTCCAACAGGTGGGCCCATTTCCCCTCTGTGGTCTGTACTCCATGTCTTGAGCTTGTCCATATGAGGCTTGGCGACGAGCTGATCCCTCATTCCATGGTGGCCTATAGGAATCGTAGCTAGCATGGCCTTGATCCTCTCTCGACTGCTGTCTGTTCCAGTTAGGGCGTCCGCTTGATGGACTTGACCTCTGATCCGGGGCAGGATAAGGAAACTCTTGCTCTGGTGCACTTGCTAATTCAGAAGTAAGCTTTCATTTCCTTTCATTTCCTTCATCTCCTTCTTCCACTCAGGCTCCTGTGCAGTGGCACTCTTTGCTGTTCCTGGTGTCTTTGTCTTAGCAGATGGGACTGTGCTCAAGTGATCGTTCTCTATCTCCCGGAGAGCTTCTAACAGGTCATCAAAGGTATTGATGGTATCAAACTTGTGTCCTGAGATGTTCTTGAGGTGTGACTTGAGTCCTGTCCAAAGCATACTCCTAAGCATCTCATCAGAATCCTCATTGCTGGTCGGCTTATCCTTCAGGGCATGGGAAAGAAGTTCCTCCAAACGACAAGCCCACTGTGACACAACCTCCTCTTCCTTCTGTCTTGCGCTATAAAACTGTGCCAACCCTGATTCCCTCCTCTCGACTACTCCGAAAGCAATACTGAGCTTCTTTAGCAGGGATGAAATACTGGTCCAAAGCCTCATGTTGATGGCGATCTTAGCAGCCTCTCCCTTCAATGAATCCTTGATTGCCTGTTCCTTAATATCCTGTGTATAAGATGAAGATTCCAAAAGCCCATCAACACGATACCTCCAGACGTCATAAGGTGTTTCCTTCCCAGTCCAGTCCAATGGGGGAATTCTAGGAAATCTATGATGATTTCATAGCACTAGCCTGAGCTACATTTCCTGTATCAGAAGAGTTCGATTCCTGCTCCACATCTGGTTTAACGTCAGTCTTAACTGACATTACATCCTGTAGCCAAGATTGGAAATCCTCAGGAGAATTAGCCTTAGGTTTCTCCTTTTCACGCTTATATGTTTCCAGAATATTGTCAATTTCCGTCTGAGAAAACTCCATGATTAAACGAAGAGTGAGCACAGAAAGTAATAATCCAAGAATTCCAAAATCACAAACTCATACAATGCAGGTAGAACTCACAAATTCCAAGAAATCGCACAAGATGCCAAGAAACCAAGCAACCTCACATGATCAAACCTAGTCCATGTTCCAACTACAACACAAACAATACCAAACCAATGAAAAGAGTCCAGTACTCCCACTCAGTGAGGGTGATACAACTCACTGAGGATCAATGACAAAACACAACCTGTTCCATAATGAACTTCACAATATTACAGAACACTTCACATTTATAAACTCATCTGCTGAAAATTGAAAAACAAATATGGTCAACTTACGAAAGGTTCCACTGAGTAAATAATTTTTTTTAGATATATGGATACATGGTGCAACGTCCTAATACTAAGTGCAGCTAAGGTAATCAGTCAAGTCCGTCAGTCAGAAAGAGAGACAACACAAGCTACTTATACCTACATAATTACAAAAGTTTAACACCTTATTATAGATAAGCTTAAACTTACTCACTTTTATTACAGTCACACAAACTCAGTTCAACCAACACGCATTGCAAGGTAATATAACTAAGTAAAGTAACTAAGGCATGATAAATAAGGTAATATGGTGGTCACCAACTAGTAGGGTACCCTTAATGACAAAGGTAACTAATGTAACTAGAGTAAGTAACTAAAGTAACTAACTAAGACGTCAAATTCTATTTCACATGTGTAAAACTAATAGCTGCATTCAATCACATCTTAATTATGAACACAACTAAGTAATGGTTAAGTTTAATTTACAAAACACAAATACTTATAGTTGATGAAATAGTATCACATCTTGTCTAACAATGACAAGATAATCCAATATATCAAATTTAAGTTACATATCATCAGACAAATTTAACACAATATAATACCTTATGGGTATATAACTGGTGATTTACAAATATATAAGTAGCTAGTTACACTACTACATGATAAATATGCAATTATTATATAAACTGTGATCACATGATCACGAGAAAGATAGAACAAAGTGATCCAAAGTCAATGAAGCTGACGTACAATGTCAGACGCGTATACGGCCGCGATTACATAGGGTCACAGTAAATTACAAGTAGAGCTCTACTATATACTACTAACACGTATGCGAGTACAGCTGATATCTCACTGATGTGGCACCTCACTCTCCTCTTTAGTCAGTTTTCCTCACTGGGGGCTCCATTTTGTAGCAGGTTAGGGTGGTGCAAATATCACAGTTAAGACAAACGCCTGCTGGGGGTGAGTTGTGACCAAGAAGCGACAAGTTTATTTTCAATACAAATATTCACCCTGGAACATAATTGAACAAATGATAAATAAATAGTTATACACATTAAAACATTGCACTTATAATTGATATAATAAGTAAAATGCATTCACCACATTATTATATGATGTTTTCCATATTACTTCAACTGCATCAATGGACTTTTATATACAAGATGCATATTATACATACATGAAATATAAACAATAAATAACTAAATTACTATGCCTACCGAATGTATGGCACTCAGGTGATAGTAGGCTAAATTTTTCCATCTATAAATATCCATTTATAAATCTATAAATAACATACATGTCATTCTAACTTAAATATAAATATCATAAAATAATATACATAGTAATCTACTGCCATATTAATGCAATCTAAACCTACTACAAAACATAATCTCAAATAGAATGTCATAGATAAACCTACATAAATAAACACATTACCTGTGCTGTAATATGCTCATAATTATACACATTATACATATTTCTCATGGCAAACAATATGGCGGACACAGATACTTATTACTTATATATGTCGCCTTTATCATAACAAATATATTATAGTACTATCATGGAACTGTTCTGGGTGAACAATACCTTCCAAATGGCGTGCTGGTTTTCATGGGGAAAGAGTCAGCAAAGAGCCGGAGTCACAGGAGACTAATCACAATTTTATTTACAAGAACAATTAACAATGAGCAAGTTACAATACCTTAGAAATAACTGAGGGGGCCACAGAGAGTCGGTACAACATTCTGGGCTGTGGGGGAGAGGTCTGCTTGGTAAGAGAGTCCAACCCCTTCTCTGCTAAACCTTTGCTACCGTATGTATTTAACAAAATTGTGAACAATAAAAAGGAATATGATTGGTTGATACACGATTGGTTGTGCCCTATGCA